GCAGCTTAGGAGAGGAAAGGGTTTGGGGCTTACAATTCCAGGTTAATAGTTCATCACTGTAGGGAAGCCACAATGCTGGGAACAGGAGACAGTCACATCATAGTCACGAGCAGTGAGGAACAACTGCACACACACTGTTGTCTTACTGTTACTTATGCTCAGCTAGCTTTCTTCACACATACAGTTCAGTGCCCAGCATAGCAAAGGGTGCCACCCACAACGGACTGACTCTTCTTACATCATTAAGCAATCAAGATAATCCCCTGTACACAGACATGCCCACAGGCCACCTGATCTAGTAGCTCCTCATTAACACTCTCTTCCTAGGGGACATTAGGTTGTGTCAAGTTGACACTTCAAACTAACCAGCACATTAACCAATGGATTTCAGTTTATGTACTGGTTTTTATTACATTCTTCCCCATCTTACTGATGTACAGTAAGGAGAGCTAGTATGTTACTGAATGGGAATCAGGAGGCACAATGGTGCAGGGGTAAGAGCATAGGTGGGCTCTGCCATGTTGTTGCAATTACACCTATGGACAAAGATTTTTCTTACTACTATCTCGCAGTGCACAGTGGTACATGGAGCAAAATGACATAGTGTATTTTAGGTGCTGGATGTGGGTGTGAGTGCTTACATGAGCCAATGTACACAGGCCGTTTGTAGGAACCAGCTCTACACAGGCCATTGCTGTAGAAGGGAGCACAGATGGTTCAACAGTACCCCCTACCAGGGAAATCTGTGGGTGCCTGAAGCACTTGCAAGCTACAAAGTTATTTAATATTTCTCTCCAAATGACCAGAAAGCTGGGTTCTGTCATATGTCAGCCGCCTCCTACAGAGAAAAAGCAACCATGTGAGTATTTGGTTTTCTACAAACACAAAGTTGTGATGGTTGACTGGAGAAATATTAGCTCTCGGGGAAAAAAAGTTGAAGAATCTAGAAGAGCTACATGTTCATCAATGCAGCTGACCTGAGGATAATAAAATACTCACCCTCGGTTACTGACCCCAACTTGCACTGAGCAGCCGATTCCTATGATTCCCGAATGTAAATGAGAGTGAGAAGTATTAATATTGATTAGTGTTATTTGAAGAGGCATGGGTGGGTTATGCATGCATGCATGCATGTGTGTGTGTGTGTGTGTGTGTGTGTCTGTGAGTGTGTGTTGGAGGACAACCCTAGGTGTAATTCTTTCTGAAACCAAGTCTCTCACTGGAACCTGGAGCTCGCAATTTAGGCTAGGCTGGCTGGTCAGGGAGCCTCAGAAAGCTGTCTGTCTCTATCTTCCCAGTGCAGGGATTACAGGCTGTACCTCTATGCAGTTTTTCTGCATGGGTTCTGAGGATCAAACTTAGGTCCTCATGCTTAAGCACTTTACCAATAAAGCTGCATCCCCTTCCTCAGTCCAGAGTTGGATCTTTTAAGGGGATCAAAAGAGAAACTGACAACTGGGTGTGCTGGCACACACCTTTAATCCTAGCACTCAGAAGACAGAGGCAGGCAGATCTTCGTGAGATTAAGGGCAACCTGGTCTACACAGTGAGTTCCTCTTTAGTCTCCTTCAGTCACATCTATATACTCACATACAGATACATACACGTAATTAAAAAATAAATCTTGCCGGGCGTGGTGGCACACACCTTTCATCCCAGCACTCGGGAGGTGGAGGCAGGCGGATATCTGTGAGTTCAAGGCCAGCCTGGTCTACATAGTGAGTTCCAGGACAGCTGGGGCTACAGGGAGACCCTGTCTCAAAAAAGACAAAAATAATAATAATAATTCAGCAACATTAAAAAAAATAAATCTTAAGAACATATTTGATACTTATCAAAAAAGCTCAAAGTGAATAATGTGTGTGTGTGTGTGTGTGTGAGAGAGAGAGAGAGAGAGAGAGAGAGATCACCCAAACTTTCTATCCTGTAATCTGTGCCAACTATGTCTATCCTTGAGATTAATTATCTCATTTGCGTATGGTTGATATTTATTGCCAAAAATTAAGTTTTTTTTTTTTTAGACAAGGCCTCATATAGCCCAGACTGGTCTTGAGCTCACTATATAGTCAAAGCTGACCTTTACTTCTGATCCTCCTGTCTTCTCTGCCTTCTAGGATTGCAGCTGTATACTACCACATCTGGTTCATGTAGTGCTGAGAATGGAACCCAAGGCTTTGTGCTTGCTACCGGATCTCTCTGTCAACTGAGCTATATCCTCAGTTTTACTATACTCTTAATTAAAGAGAAATCTCTGTCTTTTTGAAGCAATTTTAGAGTCTCTAGGAGCCAGGATATACACATTTGGTAGAATGTGACATTGTGGACTCCTCAGAAGCCTCCTGAGTGTCTTCAAGTTGGTGGAGTCCCTGAGACATGCTGTTCAGGGCAGTCTGTCTCTGTCTGACCACACACCTGCACTGCAGTGGTGGATGTTTACCAGCTCTTACCTGGATTTGTGCAGCTATATTTTGGTGGCTGAACTGAAGGACCCTGCTTTCCTCTGTATTGTACCCGACCCCTGAGGCAGTATTAAAAAGACAGGAAGGAGAAATGTTTCAAGGGCTACAGCCACGGCTGCAAAGCCCCTCCCTTCCCTCCTTAGTTATGAAATACAGGGAGCCTAGAGTTTTCACCAGGAAGAAAGCAATTGAGAAATGAAAAAAACTTTGAAAGAGGAAAGGTATCAAGTCCACTATGGCAGAGATGGGGGCTGCTCCCAACATCAGACTTTCACTTTCTTCCACAGTGACAAGACAACCAGTTTTCATTTAGGCTTCCACTTAGAATAAAAGCCGTTTTGCCAGGTTTCTTCTATGTGGCTCTGTGACTGAGTTCTGTTCAAGGAGGTAGTGATGTGGCCTAAGAAGGTTTCTGGAAGCTATCATATAAGACAGCTGGGGATTTTGAGCTTGCTCAGCAGGTAAGGGTGCTTGCTGGCAAGCATTAGGACCTGAGTTCAATCCACAGGACCCACATGGTGTGGTAGAAGGAGAGACTCCACTCCAGAAAGTTGTCCTCTGACCTCCATACACCACAGAGACATGTACTTGTATTATTTTTTGTTTAAAAATTGAGCTCTTTAAGCTCTATACACTCTTCAGCTACTTGTTTTTCTCTAATGATAGGAATGTGGGTACAGTGACTGGAGCTAAAGTAGCTACTTTGGACCATTAATAAGACAATGTAAATGGGGGCTGTATCCCACAGGAAAATGAAAGAAGTCAAAGACCCCATGGACTTAGAGCTATCATTCCAGCCCTGTACTTAATACTTAGCCACTTATTCACGAGAAATAAATAGCATTTTAGCTTATGTAAGCCATCACTATTTTACAAACCTGTTTCTTGTAGCAGAACCTATCTACACAAATGTACTTCGATCTCTGTATGTTGACATATGTCAACATAAAATGTGAAATAGTTAAGATTATTTGCTGAAGGAAAAGTCATAAGGTCTAACATAAAATATCATCACAGCTTTGTGTTGTAGACATTCAAATAATATTTAAGAATGTCTCTGAGAAGTAGTAAATCTATGATAAAATTATTTTCAATAAAAAATAAAGATGGCACAAAATATTTTTCTTTCCTTGGTCATGTTCTCCAGGAAATGGTGCAGGAACTCAGAATTCCATTGGGAAAGAAAGTCTGAATTTTGAAGAAAAAGAAACTAGAATAATCAGAATCTGAGGGAACGACAGTTTAGAGTCTATAAGATATGGCAGAAGATGGGAAGCATCCAACAAAATGTTCTGAGTCAGCCAAATTTTGGCAAACCTGTATTTAACCGCTCTGTAATGGTTAATATTGACAGGATCTAAAATCACACAGGAGACAACCCTCAGGGCATGTGTGTGGGGAGTTGCTAGATTTGGTAAACTGAAGAGGGAAATGTCACCCTAAATGTGAGCAGCACCATCCTGTGGGCTGGGGTCTTGGACTAAATAAAAAGGAGAAAGCAAGCTGAGCACCACATTCATCTCTCTCTGCTTCCTGACTGAGGATGCAGTGTGATGAGCTGCCTCCCACTCCTGCTGCCATGCCTTCCCACTATGACAGATGGTACCCTCAAACTGTGAGCCACAATAACCTTTCCATCCTTCCTTAAGTTGCTTTGCTTGTCTATTATCGTAGTAACAAGGAAAGCAACTAATACTCCATATCAACTATGGGCTCGTATGTGTGTGTGTGTGGCCTGCATAGACAGCCAGGGAAGATGCAAGAGTTTCAATTTAGTGACTCCACCCTCCTCCCATGGATCTCAGTAGCCATATCAAGGTGGAAAGGCATGCTGTCCACACCCCCATCACACAGAAAAGAAAGCAAAGTGGGGAGAAGTTAAACCAGTTTCTTAGTCTCAAAGATCTCTTCTGAGTCAATGCTGACCCCAAAATGACCTTCATGTCCTAGAAACTAGAAGGGCCTGCCAAATTCTTTAGCTTGTTTCACTGCATAAAACCACAAACCTGAGACTCTTTCAGGAACATGGAAATCTTTCATTTTCAAAAGGTTTCTGTGCTGGTTAGTTTAACCTTCAACTTAACACAGCCTAGAATCACATAAGATATTTTAATGAGAAATTATCTAGATCAGTAAGCATATGTGTGGGGGAGTCTCGTGATTATTAATAGATTTAGGAAGACCTAGCCCACCATGGGTGGCACCATTCCCTAGGGAGGGGGTCCTGAGCAGTATGAGAGAAGAGAGAGCTAGCTGAGAAGAATCAAGAAGGAAAGCAAGACTTCATGCATGGACATTACTTGTTATGGCATCTAATGCTTGCATACATACACACACATAAAGACACACACACACACACACACACTCACTCACTCACTCACTCACTCACTTACTCATTCACTCAGTCACACAGGGCTCTAACCTAAGTGAATAAAAAGCAAAGTTTCCAGTTTACCAATCATGGCTCCCTCATTTAACAATGTGAGTAGCACTCTATTCACATAAGCACTTCAGAAAGCACAAAAGCGGAAAGTGACCTACCTTCTGAGTGAGCAGAGCTTGAACGACTTGGTTGGCTACCTTTAAAAAAGAAAGAAAACTGTCATTTAAAACATTGAAACTTCGTGTGAGTGCACTCTAATTTACCAAGTTTCCAGGCTTCTGGTCTCGGATGAGCCCTTCATGTTCCTTCCGCTACCCGCAGAAGATCTCAATCTTCATAACAAACTTATCCTTTGGGGTAATATTCTGCTATTTCCAAAGGTGACCTTGTGGCTAATTAAGATGGTTCAGCTGGAAAGATAACTCATACCTTGACTTTCACATTTCCCTATTTGGGGAAATATCCCTTTCACACGTAAAGCACTCCACCAAGATTAAAAAATGATGCAGCTACAGTCACTGTCTTAATTACCTGTACACAGCTTCCCTGCCTTGCTGATTTACCATCCCCTTTGACTCCCCTTCCTGCCCTTTTCCTGTCTTACTCCTTCTCTGCTTACAATTACTTATAATAGGAAAGGTAGATGGTGGAGAAGAGGCTAGCCTATTTCCAGTGTGCCCTGCTTCCTGCTTCTCTTATTCCCTACATCTTCCTCTAGTGCTACTTACCCATTATAGAATCTAGTAGTTGCTTACTTATTCCTCAGTAGAAGAATCCTGTTTTGTTTTATGGGGAACTGAGTGTATCCTAGTATTCCCTGTGTTTCATACCATAAAGTTCTAGCCTGTAAGATAAGCAGAATAACTTATTGGGTTTAGCAGAAGTCTCTAAGAAGAAGGGAACTCAAATCATAGCTCTTTTCTTTTGTCTGGGGCCTGAAAGCAATTACTGATGCAATCCAGCTTGCTCATGGTCCATCTTCAGGACCAAAGTCCGAAAACATGTTTATCACAACGTTATGGAATCAGCCTTGCTATCTATCACATGAATGGATAAGAAAATGTAGTACATTTACACAATGAAGTTTTATTCAGTCATAAAGAATGAAATCATGTTGCTGGTAGAAAAACAGAACTGGAATCATCATGTTAAGCAAAACAATCCATAGGCAGAAAGACAAATATTGCATGTGTCTCATATGTGGAATGTACATTAGAAAGACATGGGACTAGCAGGAGGACTCTTTGGGAAGAGAAAAAGGATCATTAGGAGAGAAGAACGGGGACAAAGGAGGGCAACAGGGAGGTGAATATCAAAATGCTTTCTGTGTAGTGAGAAAGTAACTGCTGGAGCTTCAGCAGCTATCGTGACAATGGGAGGAGCTATACATTAAGTATATTTAGGCAAAGAAACTGGGCACCTCTGTCCCAAATTGCTGCACCAAAGTCACTATTTTGAGTTTATGGCAACATATATCAAACACAATTCTCATTAATGTATTATTATTAGCATTATTATTTGAGGTGAGGTGTCATATGCCCTGCCTGTTAAAAAACTTGTTAGGTAGCTGAGGATGACCTTGAACTCTTGATCCTCCTGTCTCCATCTCCCCAGTGCTGGTATTACAGGCCAGCATCACCACACCTGGTTTATGTGGTGCAGGGGATGGATCCCAGGCTTTTGTGCAAACTAGGCAATCACTCTGAGCCCTAGTCCCAGCTCTCACTAATGCACTAGCAGAATTTTAATTTTCTTCAGGCAACATAGGGTCTCAGAGGAAGTAGGATCCATTTTGGTCCAAGCATATGAACTGAGATGAATCTAAGTCAGCTGTGACCATCCAGCTCCTGTCAGGGCCTAGAAGAGGGAAGGACAGAGAATGCTACTTAAGCTAAAAGCCACATATAAAGTGTCTCTGACCTTTCAAAGATCTGACAACCCCCAGATAATCCTTCAGTATTTCTAATGTGTATTTTAAGATAACATTTTCATCTACAGATTTAAAAAACTTGATAAATAGTTGTCTGCTAAACTTCAGTGTTACCTTGGAAGTTATATGCCCATATAGCTACTAGTACTGATAAGATTAGTAAAGATTAATCAAACTGGGCAGGCAGGATACAGTAGTATATTACCATAATCCAAGCACTGAGGTGACAGAAGATCTCAAATTGAGGTCAACCTGGGCTACATAAGGAGACCCTGCCTTAAAAACAATATGAAGGTGTAGAAGTTAATGGCTTAGACAGAATTCCTAACATATACTACACATATATAAATTATAATATAATATACAAACTGCATATGTAACAATATATAGACTTCTATGGTAATGGCAAACACTGAATATCATAACTGAATCTGATGGTGTTAAAAACCAAGCTAAGGGCTGAAGAGATGGCTCAGTTAACACTGAGTGTTTGGTAAACAATCATGGAGACCAGAGTTTGGATGCCAGCATCTATATAACAAGCCAGGCAATTCCTTAAACACCTGTAACCTCAGCTCTTAGGTGGGGTATAGACAGAAGGCTTTCTGGGGCTTGCTGGCTTCCAGGTAGCCAAGAAAAAGAGAGCTCCTGGGTTTAGGGAGTGTGCTGGATAGCTTTAGTGTCAACTTGACACACCTGGGTTGAGGGAGCCTCAGTTGGGGAATTTCCTCTATTGGACTGGCCTGTGGCCATATCTGAGGGGCATCTTCTTCTTGAGTGATGTGGGAGGGCCCAGCCCACTGTCAGGTTGGCTTGTGTTGGATAAGAGAGCAAGCTGAGCAGGGACCAGGGGAGCAAGCCAGTAAGCAGCATTCCTCCATGGCCTGTGCTCCAGCTCCTGCCTCCAGGTTCCTGCCCTGAGTTCCTACCTCGGGCTCCCGAATGAACTGTGAGCTGGGATATATAAGCTAAATAAACCCTTTCCTCCCCAGGTTGGTAGTGGTCAGAGTATTTTGCAAGAGCAATGAAGAGCAAACTAGGGCAGAAATTGGTACCAGAGAGTGGGATATTGCTGTGACAGACTGACCGTGGTGTTTTGGGGAGGACTGTGGAAGTGTTTGGAACTTTGGGTTGGAAAAGCCATTGCGTGCTCAGAGTTTGTTGCTGTGGAGCTTGGGACAGTTATGCTGAAAGAGTTGTGGATGACAGAAGCCTGGTTTGTGAAGATTCAAAGGGAAGCAGAGACTATCAGGGCTGTTTGTGTGAGATTTTGGATTGAGAATCTGTGGGTTCTGGTTGGCTGGGGCTGAAGAATCAGCTGTGACTAAGAAGAGACCAGAACCTGAAGCAAAACCTTTGCTTTACTGGGACAACTGATGCTGGTTAGCTGAGCTGAAAAATCAGCTGTAAGTAACAAGAGACCAGCATTACTGAGGTGAAGTCTTCTGGGGGGTATTTCCTCAGGGTCATCACACAGAGGGGACCTGAGCCTCCATCTCTGGCAGGAAGCAGGACGTGGTAATGTGCAAGAGTCTCCTGCATGGTTCTGGTGTTGAAAGTGTGAAGGGGTCACAGAGAGCAGCTGAGGCTTGACACCCGGAGTCATGGAGAGAATCTGAGGCTTTGCACCTGGAGAGGCAAGAAGAAGCCATTGGTGAAGGTGTAGCCTCAGTTTCAGTGGAGACCCCAGCTTTTTGGAGATGCCAGGACCATGCAACAACCACCAAGGACCGCAGTAGGTATGAAATGGAGCTGGCCTGGGTCCACAAGATGAGCTGTGTGTGCTGTGGATGGCAGAGTCAGAGAAGTGGAGCTGCCAGAACTGTTTGGAGCCCAGAAGATCGTGAGTGAATCCCACATGCCCAGCCTTGAGCTACTTTGCTGGACTTTGGTTTTTCTTAGGTGTGCCCTATTCTTCCCTTTGAAATAAGACAGTACTTGTTTTGGATTTTACAGAAGCCCACAGTTAAGAGACTTTTAAAACAGACAATGAACTTTCAAGTGTTTGGATTTTTTAAGGACTGTGGGGTTTTTAAGGTTGTACTGTCTTATGTTGTGATATTTACATCATATCTTGGGAACAAAAATTGGAAAGTTATGGCTTAATAGTGATGTTTGTGTGTCAAGTTGACAAGGGGTCAATTGTGCTGGATAGCTTTAGTGTCAACTTGACACACCTGGGTTGAGGGAGGCTCAGTTGGGAAATTGTCTCTATTGGACTGGCCTGTGGCCAATTGTGCTGGATAGCTTTAGTGTCAACTTGACACACCTTGGTTGAGGGAGGCTCAGTTGGGAAATTGTCTCTATTGGACTGGCCTGTGGCAATGTCTTAGGGGCATCTTCTTGTTGAGTGATGTGGAAGGGCCCAGTCCACTGTGGGTAGTGCCACCCTTGGGCAGGTGGGCCTGTGTTGGATAAGAGAGCAAGCTGAGCAGGGGCCAGGGGAGCAAGCCAGTAAGCAGCATTCCTCCATGGCCTGTGCTCCAGTTCCTGCCCTGAGTTCCTACCTTGGGCTCCCAAATGAACTGTGACCTGGGATACGTAAGCCAAATAAACCCTTTCCTCCCCTGGTTGGTATTGGTCAGAGTATTTTGTCACAACAATGAAGAACAAAGTAGGACAGGGAGAGACCCTGTCTTAAGGACTATGTAGAGAGTGACAGAGGAAGATACAGTACCTGACATCCTCTTCTGTCATCTGTGTGCACACAGCATTCACTTACATACACATGTGCACATATCCTAGATTATAAACTACCTGCATCCATTCATTTCTTCCTTCTGCCATTTAATAGACATTTTCTAGCATCTGTCTGAAGATACAGCCTGGGATGTGGTGATATCTGGCGAGGGGTAGCTGGCTGGCAGTTATAACCACACAAATATCCACCTTACAGGGTGCTATTCAAACTATCACCAGGGTGATTCTCAGATTCAGGCAGAGATGATGAGACACACTTTCATCTTCTTCACATTTATTTTGGGGATTCTCAGCTCTGTGTGCCTGTCTCTAATCAAGGAGCAGATTAGAGTGCGAATATTTTCATAGGGCTTAATTGTATCTTGACTCAATATTGACAAAACAACACATCCTTCATGATAGTTGGCTACCAGCAAGTCTCTGAGGAACATTAAAATATAGCTAGCATCAAATCTTGGTTAGGAGATATTCACACCATGACAAATAAACGGCTAGAATCAGACCATCCATAATTTATTAGTTAAACTGTTCACACAGGTGATTTTTTTTCCCATCGGAAATTATTCC